TCATGTGAATTTATAAACTCCTTTTATTTAAAATATAAAAACATTTTTAACGATATATAACCCCTAATAAAATAGTTAATTGTCTCCAAACTAATGCTCCCTTTATTTAAAAATATAAGATATTTTTAACTGAATTTTATCTCTTAATAAAATAGTTATTTATTTTTAAATTAACCCTATCTTTTTATATTTACTCCTATTAAACACTTACAATAAATATAAAGTTATGCATCAATATGGATACTTTTTTTTTTAAAAAGTAATGATTACACCTCAAAAAATTTAAAATATCTTACATTTTTTAATATCTGACTTCTCAAAAAATGTCTTATATTTTTGAACGGAGGGAGTGACATTTTTTTATATTTGTTCTATTTAATAAGATGTTTTACTTTAAGATAAATATAAAATAATTTGTTTTATTATAAATATTTTTTTAAAAATATATTAATTACACTTTTAAATATTAAAAATATCTTGCTTTTTTTTTAAATTAGACTTTTCAAAAATTTGTCAGGTAAAATGATAATGAGGATGAAGAGCAAAGCAGAGAAAGAAAAGAAGAAGAAAGGCAGTTGTTTAATCAAAACGACTTTTTTAGCATTTGCAATGGCTTTTAAGGCTACACTGCACGCCTACTACACGAGTCTAGTAAATACTCATATTCATCTAAAATATAAATAGTTTTTTTTTTTAATTTACATACTAATAAAATTTATAAAATTCTCATTTTAATAAAAATATAGTTTATTTTTTATTTTTAATCTCAATTATCAATAAATTTCATTATGAGTGAGAGATAGATTTATAAAATAATCTAGATTAATATATAAAAAATAAAATGAAAAACAATTTACATATATTACATTACTTATATTTTAAGGAAAATTTCAGGAACCCAAGATAATGGGAAAAAAGATATCAGAATTTCTAAAATTTCACTAAAGGACCTATATAAAATTTTTGCTCAATTTATGATATAAATAAAAAAATTATTCTTAGTTAAATGAACAATATAAACGATTTATTCATTTACAAAATATTATTTATTTCCTTATTTTACTTGTTTATAGCCCTAATTTCACTTGATTTTATTTCAAGTATTAGTTTCATGATAAGACAAATTATTTGTTTTCATATAATATATTATTAATTTACTTATTGAATTTTATTCATTTCTCTACTTTACTTATTCATGACCCTTGAAATAAAATTAAGTGAAAATAAAATTATAAACAAGTGAAGCAGGGAAAGAAATAACATGCTATAAGTAAATGAATAATATATGGTATGGAACGAACAAGTTATTTATGTTGTTCATTTAAATTAGAATAATTTTATCATTTCTATCACAAATTTAAACAAAATTTTGTATGAGTCCCTCAGTAAAATTTTAAAAATTCTGGATCCTCTTTTTTATTATCTTTGATCAAGGATCCCCATCTGAAATTTTTCTTATATTTTAAACCAAAATTATGTAATAAAAAAGTAGTTATATTTTAGATAATGGTGGAGGAAGCATCAATTGCCAGTAAAATAAACATCCCTGCTCGCGCTTTGTCCATCATTTTTTCTCGTCCTTCTCTGTCCCTACAACCTCTGTTTTGGAGAAAGACAATACTTCAACTTTGTGTCCTTCCAATGCCTTCTGTGAATATTTTTGGATTAACATGGCTTTTTAGCTAAATGTTTATCATCACCTTCTTTGCAAAATCACGAATCGATGTCCTTTCATTAGCTTTCTCCCCTATGTTGTCCCCCTGATATCATTATGCACCGGGCAGGTAAATGTCTTTTGCAAAGCGCATTGCTTTTCATAAACTTGCAAAAGTAAATAATGGGTTTATCCACAAACCTCACCAATCTTATTACCAAAAAGTAAGTAATAGGATTTTAACTAATGCATCATGGAAGCTCTATTTGGATTAATTTAAAAGTACTAAAGAAATGTGGAATAAGGAGAGAAAATTCTAATAATTTTTTCCTCCTTTCAAAAGTGCAGGATTTTTTGTTATCCAAAAAAAAAGTGATGAAATTTGGAAAAAATGAGTGCAACTAGATTTTACTGTAATTAAATTAACCTCATTTATCTAATTTTAACTTGACAAATTATTTTTTTAATAACAACCTGACAATTTTTTCCTGTTTGCTTCCTCGCACGTTCGCCCTTTGCCCTTGGGCTTGCTTACCTTGCAGCCTTAGTTCAGTTTTCATTTTCATGGGTATGCCATCAAGGTCTTATGTCAAAGTTAAACCAAGCATTGTTCATCCATTTCTTTTCTTTTCTCACTTTTCATTTAGACTGTGACATTTGTTGTAATTTTCATGTATAATAAATAATTATATTTTTATTTTATTAATGTATTAAAAAAATAAATCAGTAAACATTACAAAATATTTAAAAGGGGGGGATTCAAATTTGATATGATTATAGATATCCATATCAAACGAGTATGTCGAGAGAGAGGGGCAAATAATTATGTGAAAGCATATGATGGTTTTGGTTTTGGGGTGTTAAACAATGAAGAATAATTTATTTTTTATTTTTATTTAGCATATAATTTTAAGATTATCAACACTTGTTTCAAAAAAAAGAAATAAACATTTTATCACTTAACAAAAGTGAAGCTTCAAGGTCACAAATTATTATTATTATTATTATTTTTGTAAGGAACATAGATAGAAGATTGTAAAAATTAAAGTAATTTTTGGAGATAGAGTAACAACACAACATAAGGTCCTTGTCTTTAATGTGCTTATTAAGAATAAAAATAAAAAACGCTGACAAGTGATAAGCCTAATAATTAAGTGGTGGTAGTTAAAAGATGAGAAGCAAAAGATTTTCAAGTAAAATCTTTTGGTTAAAAGAATTTGAGAGTCTTAAGGAAACAATAGCTTCTTGTGAGAGGGTATGACTAAAAAGGTAAGGAAGGTTGTTAAAGAAGTTTTAGGAGAATCAAAAGATTTTGATATGAAAGATAAAAATTTTGATGGTAAAATGAGAATGTACAATAAAAAGTCAAATATAAGAAGGAGTATTTTAAAGTCATATATTTGTGTAATAATGCTGAAAATTGAAAAATGTATCATATCACTAAGAAGTAAACTAAGAAAGCTGTGAGTGAAATTTATTATAAAACATTTGAAGAGTTTTACAAATATTTTGGGACAAAGGATGGAGAACAAAATATTTATAAAATTGTAGGAGTAAGAAAAGAAAATTAAAAGATCTAAAATAAGTAAAATGCATTTAAGATAAGGAAGGAAAAGTTTTGGTTATAGATTGTGATATTGAAGAAAAATTAGAGACCTATTGTTACGAAATTTTCAATGGTGAAGTGTCTCATCCTGTAAGTTGGAGAATTTAGTAACTCATAAAAGAGAGCAGAATTCATCATTTTATCGAAGGATACATGATAGTGAGGTAAATGAATCTCTTAAAAAGATGACAAATGATAGAGTTAATAGATCTAATTATATCTTTATTTAAGTGTGGAAATGTTTAAGTAAAAAAAGGCTGTGGTGGCTAGCGAAATTATCTAATGAAATTTTATAGTCCACGCCTAACAAATTAAGGGGAAATATCTTGCTTCCTATTTACAAAAAAAAAAGACATTTAAAATCGTGCAAACTACAAACTGATTAAACTTATCAATCATATTATAAAATTGTGAAAAAGAATGATTGAGCATAGGTTGAGATTGAAGAATGATATTTTTAAGAATTAATTTAGTTTTATGTAAAGTAGGGCAACCGTGGAAGCAATTTACCTACTAAGAGGATTAATGAAAAAATATTGAAGCAAAAGTAAAGATTTACACATAATTTTTATTGATTTGAAAAAAACTTTATGACCATATACTAAAAGAAGTACTTTAGAAAGCTTTAACAAAAAAGAGTTTTAGTTACCTATGTTAAAGATATACAAAATATGTATAGCAAACAACAATTAATATAAAAAATGTTCAGCAATAAAACAAAAAACTTTTCTATAAAAATATAATTATATTAGGGATCATCTATGAGTCTTTATTTATTTGACATGCTCCTAATGTTTTGACCAAATACATCCAAAAGGAAATCTCCAAATGCATACAATTGGTAAATAATATAGTTCTTATCACGAAGATAAAAAAATAAATTAACCATAAATTTGATTTATGAAAGAAAGCTTTAGAGCTAAAAGGTTTTCACCTAAATAAAAATAAAATAAAATATTTATACTGTAATTTTGATAAGAAGTTAGTTAGTAATAATTTAAAAATAAGATTGAAAGATCGAATTATACCTTAAATAAAAAAGTTTAAATATTTAAAAATTATTATTTAACATGATAAGGAAATTGATGTGATGTTACATCCAAGCTGCAAGTTAAATGATTTAATTAAAAAAAAGACTAAAAAAATTATTTATAATTAAAAGATATCTAATAAACTTAAAATTTTTTTTATTAAACTACTATAAAATTGACTATGTTATATAATAATAAATATAACCATATAAATCCTTAAAAGGAAAGCAAGGACATAAAGTCGAAGCAATTTAGATAAGAATATTAAGAATGTATGGGCAAACACCAATAAAATCCAAAATGAACATAAAATATAAAAAAAAAGTGTGACATCTATCCAGAATAAAATAATATAAAATGATTTAAAATGATTTGAATATGTAAAAAAAAAGTTGTGAGAAGCATCAGTAATGAAAATAAAACTAACAACCTTAAACCCTATAAAAAGAAGTAAAGAAAGGGCAAAGATAACACTTCTAAAAATTGAACTAAATCTCTCAATTAACAATATTCTTAAGAGCTTAGTGAATAATAAAACAATAATATATTATACAGTACATATAACCAACACTACACAGTAAAATAAAACTTGTCCTGTATAGCCATCCATCCATTTATTATTAATTTATCTTCCCTCCAACCAAACCAAATAAGGGAGTATTAAATTTAAAATACCTCCCCTTCCCTCCCCACCCCCCAATGAACCAAATTGTCCGGAAGGGTTCAAAATGCTATATTCATATTTTATTTCTAAATTTGACAATATATAACACAAGATCATTGAATAAGCTACTAAACTAACAAAAATATCTCAGCAGGCGAATGGCTCAGGATCTTTTCTTGTTTTGTATAAATGTCATCAGTTATTACACACTTGAAAATTAAAAATGAATGCTAAGATCTGCTCTCCGATTTCCTTCTACTGGATCTCTTCCCCTCTGCCTCTCGCCGTTTTTGCTGCCTGTTCAACAGAAGAACCGACTTCATTGTACTAAACATAAATAAATAATTCTATTAGCAAAATATCAACTATCAGAAAACAATCTTGCGCACAGGATATTTCAGCTGTGACAGTCAAACTTGCACAGTAATATATGACCCCAGAAAAGCAAGCAGCTTTTGTACATTTTTCATACAAACAGTTGCCATCTTCCTTCTTAAAAGCAGATTGAAATCTGTGATTTAGCGATTGTACAACTAAACCGCTATAAGAATACGTTTAACCCATCTAAAAAATCATGAATAATTATTGCAAATTGCATCTGCAGGCATAATCACTACTTTAATGTACCATATTCAAACCTGAACTAGTCTTGAGACCAAGTATATAGTTATAAACAGCCTCAAATATATCAGTAAGAACCCCTCTAGTCACTCAAAAGTTAAAACTACATGCCCTAGCTATAACAGCATTGGTAGGACAATAAATGATTAAACTAAGTAATCCACAGTCAATCATAAGACAGCTCTAACAGGGCAGAAAACTACAGAAGAGAAAAAATAGCAATAGAACAATGTTGCTCCAAATAAGGAGACATGCCCATATTGAAAACAATCTGATAAAGAACGCATAATTTATTCCTGCATCTATATCACTGGCCCCTTTCTCCTATGCAAGACCATTCAAAACGCTTCGCCACAATTTCAAATGCTTTGAAAGCTTTAAGAGCTCATAAAGGTCTGAATTACACGAATGGAAATGAAGGTTGATATTTACTTTCAAATGAAACTCCGCTTCTAATCTATTTCATGCTTTCATTTGTAACTTGTTATAGGCATCTTTATTTTACACCTGAAATGCTCATCTAGAACTTTTTTCTAAGTTACTTACGTTTTTAGTTGATGCTTACATATATACCCTCATATATCCTAAAATTTAGGAAATTATTTCTTGTAGTGTTGAATCAGATAACACATGCTCAGTCCAAACTTCTTAGAGAAGTAGTCAATCATATGTTTGACATGTCAAGATATGAATAAAAGGAACACCCCACACGGCCAAACCAATTACAGAAGAAGAAACGGTAGATGTCTAGGCCAAATGGGAAAATGAAGGTGAAAAAGCAATATTCAAGTCTCTACATGTCACACCAACAACTTTTAGAGTTTTCTTTCATCGGCTGAGATATGGGCAAATAGATTGTAAAATTAATGAGACTCAAAACACAGCAGAAAGCACAAACAAAATAAACTTACGCATATAGCATGTATCCACCACCAGCACTTGCAGCAGAAAAAATTGCCGTATGAGCCCCGACACTAGATACAGAATCCTGCCCCACAGAGGGCAGAGGATTTTTTTGATCACCATCCACCTGAAACAAAGTAATTCACTAAAATCTTGTAAGCACAGTGAAGCATGTCACAGGAGCTGCAAATGCATATACTTAGATGAATACCTTATCCCACTTTGATTTTTTATTCTGTCTTCCATCTCGATTGATAGCATCACCTGTAGGAGGCACCAAATGCGAAGCACTAGCAGTCACAGCAGATGAAGCTGCAGAAGAAGAGTCGTCAATATAACACACCATAATGAAATCATCATACATCTTAATGAAAGGAGAACATTGAAAAACAGCTTCATCACAGGTGGCTTCTGAACCTGGAACAGGTAGGTTGATCCTGGGAACGCCTGCTACTGTTACACCCTGCGTTCCACCAGAAATAAATTCAACCTTTTGTGCTTTTTTCTTCTCCTGTTCTCTCCTCTCACTTTCACGCCTCATATGAGCCTCTGTATTGTATAAGATAAAAGGCATGGAAAATGGAGTAATGTTAGGGGAAATGTTGAAAAGAACTCCAAAAACAGTGATAGCTTCAAGGTAGAGTAACAAATGCAGTCCCACACTCCTAGATCAGTAAGCCAAGCATCTTTGCCAAAATGATAATAACATCAAAATTCTGGAAGGAAGAAGAAAATCACAAGCCTAAAATAGATTATCAATATAATAATCGAATATAGAAAAGAAATGAGGCTGAAATACCACATGCCTCAAACACACTGTCACCATGTTTTACATAAACAGTCTACAATAACCTCATAGACATAGCCGAACATGACAAAATAAATATACAACATACACATTAACAAAAACAAATAATGCAAGTACAGTAGCATATTAGATGAAATTAGCAGCACATATGAGCTGAAAAAAAGCAAGTGCATGGAGAACCACAACAAAATAGATGCAAAGATAAAAATGATTAGGACCTATTCCATCATAGAAGTCACTGGGGTCATATCCATGAGGGTCAAAAACATCTTTACTGAAGCACGATCCTATTTGATCAATACCCTGATACCTCACTGCATGCAGCAAGAAGTCAGGGTTCCGATAGTCCTTCCTGTTGCGAACTTCTGCATTAAAACTTTTTCCAGCCTTCTTATAATGAAGAAATTTATTTATTTTCCTCTGCAATAACATTAGTTGAAAGTCAAGAATAATAAGAGAAAAATGTCCCATGGCTAAATGCATGGTATTCTTTCTTCCCAACACTTAGTTGGGAAGTTACTGGCTACCAAATGCAAATGAGAAAGCTAAAACATGCAAAATGTTTTTACAGGGGAAAGCCTAGTTTAACGTCTTATTACTGTGTTAAACATTAACCCATTCTACAGACAGAAATCATGGACTCTGTTCCTATCTCCATGTGTGCGCACGAATTTCCAAATAGAAAAGCAATAATACATATCTATACCTCATTCATAAATACAGCATGAGTTTAACATATGCTTCTACTATTGTTATAATTTACGTTAATCAATTACCAGCACTCCCTTTTCACAACTGATACCATGGGCACCTACACTCTTAGCAGACTTATTCTAGATGGTCAAAATGAACGAAATAAAGAAGCCAAAATGACAACTTAATATCACTATAGCACTTTCAAATTCAGTGAGCTAGATAATGATATCCTTATTCTATAATTTAGGAGAAGCTAAGATGCCAAAACCAAAAAGATGCTAATGCCAGTTATTACTGAATCAAATGTGCTTTTATTTTCTTCTCTCTTTTTTCATTTTGGGTGGGTGTTGTTGTTAACTAACAATTGCTTATGATCATATTCAGGCAACTTGGATTATTAAAAAAAAAAAAGTACAAAAATCTAAATGGTGTGCTTGAACAAATCGAAGGAGAAAAAGAAAACTGGACAAGCACACAAAAACGGGAGAAAAGGACCAGAATTTGTTAGTCATACATGCAAGCATTTTACAAGGCATCCGAAGAGTACTCAATAAATGCTTCATTGTCAATTAAAACAAAATTATTTTTAAAAAATAACAAAAGAACTTACTTGTAACTCCTCAGAGCACTTGATTTTCAAGGGTGGAGGCAGAAATTTATCCAATGGATCAACAAATTTTTGCTCTTCTTGCATGGCTCCTCCATGTTCTGAACTATCTGATCCAACCATAGCATCATGGTTCATGGTATCGGATTTCAATAGCTCAGAAAACTGAGGGCTCCTAGCATCATTGTCAGGTGTCAAAATTGCTGTTCTACCAAGTGAATCACCTACGAGAAAACATTCTATAAAACATGAACAATAGTGCATTTCTTAGGAACCAAATAAGGCCAGGGAGGACAATAGTGCATTTCTTAAATAAATATCCATAAATGTGTGGTCATGCATTCTACTGACTCATATATCAGACGTGAAAAGTTTGCGTGAATATATGAACTTGACCTTATTAAGACTGAAAAATACATCATAGATAATTTAATACATTTTAATTCAGAATCACTTTTACAACTGTTCAACAGTTTAAGAGTAAAACAATAGTTCATATTCACTTATTATCTGATACATAAATGAGAAGACTTGGGTCCCATTATTCCATAGGGAATTATTGTAACCATTAAATTCTAAATTCAACACGTTATATTTGACCACTAAGCTTAGTCAAATTATTAGTATAGTCAAAAGAATAAAGGGTATTATGAGATGATGCTCGACAGATAAGCAGAATGAAGTGAGAGGGACGAACATTAATCAAAAGTTGCCGTGAAATAGCTCCATGATCAACAAAAATCCTGCTTACCATTTGCTGTTTGACAGTCGTCCCCAAGTGTAACTTGGCCACTACCATCAAACTCTCCTTCCTGTGTGAAACCAATTAAAATTATAATTATTAATATTCGAAGTAGAACAAAAATACCAAGCTAACCAGAACAAGCAGCTACCCCTTCACCATTAAACCACTTCTCTGATAGGCAGATGTAGGAGTTTGCTATAATGCCTACTGAAGCCTAACGTCATACGAATTTTCATCAAATGATTGATCATGTTCCAGTTTCTTCAAGGTTCCGCCGATCATTTTCGCATAAATAAAAGGGAGAGAGATAATATAATGAACTCTATCGCTTTCATTGTATCTTTAGCCCTAAGCCAGCCATTAGTGAAGCTTTATGAAAAAATCCGGCCTAGAAATCGGAAAGAGTTTGAGCAGGACAAGAGTACTAGGAAGAAGTACCTCGGGCTCAGGTGACATTGCCACTTCATCGTGACCATAGTCCACTATCGTAAGGGCCCCTCTCCTACTCCTTCCGGCATCGGACGTTACCGCCCGCCGCTCCTGCGGCGAAACCGGCGCATTAGCAGAAGGCTGTTGCGGCGTTGAACTCCGAAAGTTAGTCTTCTCCGGTGTCATCCCATCGTCGGTAAGTGGCGGAGTATCGAGTGCAGCAGAATCAGAGACGACCATTCTATCAGTTGCAGGCACAAAATCATCCTCAACAGCACGAGCATCTGTATCATCAACCTGTCGCTCTCCCTCCTGTCCAGGAGCAGCCAAATTTTCCTCCACGTCCTCCATTTCGTCGTCTTCCTCGTCGTTGTACATGGATAACAAAGCAATCCCTTCAGATTGCTTCTTCTTGGACGCCATTGCAAGCTAGGGTTACAGTGTCCAACTGAAGGCGTGCAAATACAGTTTGCGAGAAAGAGGGAAAAATTGTCGGGGGCTAAGGGTGTTAAAGGATGGAAACTAAGTTGTGAAGCTAAACGGAAAAATATAGGAAACGGAATTTTGTCAAGATTGAAAAGGAATATGAGAGCGAGCGATCGGGGGTGCGGGAAGCCGCGAACAGAACCAGGAAGAGGGAAGATGAACGAAAGGTCAATCGGTGGGCTCCCGTAGGTAAAAAAACCACACTTGGTTTGGTTCCCTGATTTTTTTTTTGCACTCGTTTGTTTCTTGGGCCCAAATAAACTCATGGGTTTTGAAGGGGATTAAAGGCCGCAAGTGAACTGGCAAGAACTTCTTTGTCGGTAGGTGGCTGGGACTCCTCATGAGTTCAAGTGACGCAGTGAGGCTCAACTGATCGACTTTAAATAGATTTTAAGGGAAGAATCAAAACATTCAATTCATTGTCACAATAAATTTCGATCATTTGAATTTTAATGCACATCCCATAAACTTTTTTTATCATCAGTTGCAGTAGTAGTAGTGTTTTATACAAACTATTCCAAACAATTATTGTGTTCGAAGTGCTAAATCTCTGTAGCAGTATCTTTTAACAAATTTTAAATATACTTGGAGCATTGAAACGTGATTTTTGTGTTCAAAGCGTGGTGCTCAGCCTTTTTAGTGAGTTCCAATTTTTTTTCCCCCAGAAAACACACTTCATATTACTAAAAAAAAAATTACACACAACAAAAGTAAAGACCCAACAAACAAGTATAACCTACCCTAACAACTCCTAAGACACTAAAACAGAAGGAAATCAACAGAACCAAACAAGTAAAAGCCATCTCCTTGCAAACCAAAAGCAAGCTAAGATGCAGAAGTCAATTCCATGATATGCAAAATCATGGTAATAGCTGAACGAGCCCACACTCTTTGTATGCCAAGGCTGCAAAAACAATAGGAACTCCAATAACCCCTCTTGAAGCAAGAGGGAAAACAAAAGGTTGAGAGCCAAAATCAACTTTCAAGTCAACTAGGATTACCATAGGATTGAGCCAAAAGCATCCATAGTAGTACCAAATAATCCACAAGAACAGGCCGCAAGTAATGTTGTCCAGCAAATCGTACAAACCAAAATCACACATATCAATAACAACGGCAAGAGACGCAACCAACACAATCAAAGAAAAACGCATAAGGACATCTTGTTGTTAACATAATAAAAGCCAAAATCTAAAGCTCTAAGACCCAGGTAACCAGCTAAAAGGGTGGTAATCTTAAGGTTTTCTCTACAATAGAGCCTAACCCCTTTAATGCAATTGTTGCTTCTACACTTGTAGCTTTAAAACACTCCATTGAACCAAGAGAGAAAGAACATCTCCAAAAGCTTATGCAAACCTCTTGTGAGACACGAAGCAATGCAAAATTTGGCCTTCCAATATTCTGTAGGATGTATGGAGGTAAACTGAGAGTTGAATTGCTTGAGTCATGTCAAAAGACATTATTTTTAAGAACTATTTTAATACATCGGGACGATGGACCAATAGTTTCTTAGAATTAAACAAGCACTTATTGCACAAACAAGGCACCAGAATAGCAGGACTAATAGGAAATAAACTCATATGGAAGCACGCAGAGAAGGAAAAAAATGGCTTGAAAGCTCAAGAGCTTAGTGACCAATTTAGTCTGCATGCATGCCTGTATATAGGCCAAGGTCTTGGACGAACGTTGGGCAACATTTACTGGATTAATTCACCATCAAACCTCAGTGACACAAATATAAAATAAATTTAAATATTTGTCTAGAGACGTTGGGGGGACAAACATGTTTAAGAAATTTATTCATCCGTTTCAAAAATTTGGTCAAAGCCAAAAACGTTCATGGTTTGAATTCAAACTCTAGACAGTTAAAAAATGAGGTTTTTCAGTAAGCTCATATAAATAAATAATTATTTATTTTTTTATAAAAATAATCTGATAAAAAGGACCCAGTGCCTCTTGAACTCGCACACAGGGGGCGAATAGGCTAATTTCAACTGTAATTGTCTTAAGTTGACCTATTTCGTGCGTGCGAGCTCACTTTTCCTCCGAGCCATTTTATTAGCTCATTTCAATTCATAGTATTTATACACTAGGAGCTCTCTTCATTCAGGCAATATGGGACTTTTTTTGACACACACACACACAATTACTACAACAATCCCTCATATATGTCAAAAAGGTCTACTATTATCTGAGTTATTCACATGGAGGATAATTACTTTGAATATAGGGTTTTTCAACTTGAGCTAAACCTAGATCAATAAAATTTAGCACACAGAAAAGTCAGTATAACTTTATTATTGAACCAACAGATCTTGAGCTTGTACTAGAGGTCTTATTAATTATATTATACCCTCACAGTCTTTGTTGTTAACAACAATTTTACATGTTATCGGCCATGCACGTGCTTGGGCCACGATCTCATAAGAGCGGCCCCACTCCACATTTATATAGGTGTTTTTATCAAATGTATCTACAATGAATACACCATCTATAAGGACTATGAAAATATTAAGAGCTTCCACTTAGCCTCCATTCAATGCATTCTAACACTTTCTCAAGCTATAGGAAGGGACAAAAATTTAGTGCTAGCAGAACTAATAAGTAACTTATTCTTACTCATTAAATCTTCTTTATGGGATCTCCAATCACAAAGGCTGGGTTGTCATTACTGTTGATTTTAAATAAGTTTAAGTTCCATTCCCCTCAATATTTCAATAATAAATTTCTTTCTCAAGGGCTTAGTAAACGAATCCGCTAGATTTAACTTTAATCTTACATAATCAATTGAGATGACCCCATCTTTAAGCAGCTGTGCTATAATATTATGTCTCAATCGAATATGCCTCCTTTTGTCATTAAAGGTCTTATTTTTAGTCGTTGCTATGCAAACTGGCTATCACAATATAAAAAGACTAATGGTGTGGGCTTTTCACCTATTAGAATACTTGCTAAAAAGTTTTTCAACCACTTAACCTCAATTCCAGCCAGCTTTATGGCAATAAATTCATAATCCCTAGAGGATTTTGTATTAATTGTCTATTTTATAGACTTTTAGGTTATTACACCACCATTAAAAGTGAATATATAACCACTAGTGAATTTTGTCTCTTTTGAATCCAAGGTCCAATTAACATCACTGTATCCTTCCAATACAATGAGAAATTCACTATACAATATACCATAATTCACAATACCTCTCAAATATCTCTAGACTCTCACTAGAGCCTTCCAGTGTTTACTGCCTGAATAGTGGGTATATCTGCTTAATTTGCTTATAGCATAAGCTATATCAGGCCTAGTAAAATTCATCAAATGTAACAAACTCCCAATAATCTATGCATACTCAGATTAAGCAACTGAGTCACCCTTGTGATTTTTTAATTGCACACTTGAATCATAAGGAGTACTCAAAGGAGCATCTTCAAGATGTCCAAACTTCCTGAGAATTTTCTCAACATAATGTTTTTGGGAAAGCAAAATTCTATTTTCATTCTTTATGATCTTTACACTCAAGATTACCTTAACTTCACCCATATCTTTCATGTCAAAATTTGAAGAAAGAACATCTTTTGTTTCACCAACAACACACACACTAGAGCTAAAGATTAGCATGTCATACATATATAAGCATATAATCACACAATCATTATTCACAAGTTTTGTATAAATACATCTTTCTACTTTAACAATAGAAGAACCACCATTTGTCAAAACTTGATCAAGTTTTTCATACCATTGCTTATGTTTTAAGACTTATAAAGACTTGACAAGTTTACAAACTTTATTTTCTTACCCAAGAATCACACATCTTTCATGTTGTACCATATAAATTTCTTCTTCTAAATTGTCATTCAAAAATCCTATTTTAACATCCATTTGGTGAACAAAAAGCTTGTAAATTAAAGCTAAAGCAATTAGAATTCTTATAAAAGAAATTCTAGTCACGGGTGAAAAGGTGTCAAAATAATTAATATTTTCCTTTCAAGTAAAACTCTTTATCACAAGCCTTGCTTTATATTTATCAATTGAACCATCTAGAAAATATTTTTTCTTAAAAATTTATTTACACCTAATAGCCTTAGCTCCTTGAGGAAAATTTGCTAAAACTCAAGTTTTATTTTTCCTAAAGGAATCAATTTCAATTTCAATTGCTTCTTTCCAAAACTTAGCATCAGGAGAAGAAATAGCTTCATGAAAATTTAATAGTTTATCTTGCACCAAATAAGTATAAAAATCATTGCCAAAACTTGTTTCTTTTTTTTTTGCCTTTTACTTCTTCTTAAAACCAACTTCCCATTTGAATTTTGTTCAAACTCAAAATTCTCAACAGGTTTAGAAACACGCTCAATTTTTAATGGAAAAATGTGTTCAAAAAATTCAGCATCCTTAGCCCCAATAATTGTGTTTTGGTTTAAAACATCACTTTTCAAAACTAAAAAGCGGTAAGCTACATTATGTTTAGCATATCCAATAAACATACAATTAAAAGTTTTAAAATTAATTTTTTTCTTTTTAAGATTAGGCAATAAAACTTATGCAAGATACCCCCATACTTTGAAATATTTTAAATTTAAGGTAAACCCTTTCCACAATTCATAAAGTGTTCTCTTCATTTTCTTATAAGGTATTATATTTTATAAAAAAACATGCAGACAAAATAGCTTTACCTCGTAAGTTGTCAAGTGTAGAAGAACTCAAAAGTAAAGCATTCATCATTTTTTTAATGTTCTATTTTTTCTTTCTACAACACCATTAGACTCAGGAGAATAAGGAAGTATTTTCTCATGAATAATACCTTCTTTTTTCACAAAAAATCATTTAATAACACATATTCTCCAAGACTATCCAATCTAACTCTTTTAATCTTTTTATTTAACTGATTCTCAATTTTTGCTTTATATAAAAGAAATTTTTTCAAAAGCTTCATCTTTTTTTTAATAAGTATACCTTAGTATATCTTAAAAAGTCATCAATAAAAGTGATATAATATTTTTTTACTACCTCCAATCATGGTTTGTTTCAAATCACCTAAATTAATATGAATTAAAGACAGTAATTCAGATTCTCTTTGACTAGAAAAATGAGATATTTTACTTTATTTGGTTTCTACACACACTTAACATTTTCCCAAAATCATTGTTTTCAATTTTAGAAAGTAATCCAAGTTGTTGCATCCTATTTATATAACC